AGGGAAAAGGATGACTGGGAAGTCCAAGGATTATGTAACAGAGAGATGATGGATAGGTTTAAAGAAAAGACAGGAAAGGGCCTAGTCTGGACTAATTCAGGGGCCAATTTGACAGGGGACTTATATGGAAGTCAATACAGAGGGCTGCTGTCAGGGTCCCATCTAGGACCCTAGAATCCCTTCCCAATCCTCTGAAAGGTGATGTCAGTAACAGGCTCATTGATTACAGACTCTTGGTTTTTTTAATGCTTCTTCCCTCTTTTTTAGGAGAGACCAGAGACCAGAGAGAGACTTCCCAAGGAATTCCACTGGGTCAACAAGTACCATCATTTAGGTAAACATCTAAGAGTGGGGCTGGGAAGGGAGGTCATAGTTGAGGGAAGGGCAAATTAGACCAAAAAGCTAGGCTGGTTGATAGCAAGGTGACCACAAAGCACCAAGATCCAAGGGACTGAGAGAAATGAGACACTCATTATTGATGTAAGGCTTCCGAACTAAGAAGCTAGAATCAGATTAGGAAGTTAAGATGCAGGGAGTGCCCAGGGCTGACCATTTATTTGACCCAACCTGATCCTCCAAAGCTTCTGTCTTTGTATTGCAGCTATGTTTGTTCCCCACCTCTGCCCAAAGTGGATGTGTCAGCATTCACAAAACTCGGCCACTACTGTTGGGCTGTGAGTTATAAGATTGCTGCCTTCACTTAGTTATTGTATGGTACTAAATGTGATGCTAGGATGCAAAATCTACTTAGAGAGAGTAGCATCTGGGCTCTGCTTAAAAAAAAAACCTAGGGTTTTGTTATACTGAGTTCAAATCCAGACACTTACTAGCTGTGTGACCCTGGGTAAATCACTTAACCCATTTGCCTTAGTATCCTCATCTGTAAAATGGGGATAAATAATAGTATCTACCTCTCAGGGTTGTTTTGAGGATCAAATAAGATATTCGTAAAGTGCTTAGCTCAATGCTTGGCCCATAGTAGGTTCTATATAAATGTTAGCCATTATTATTATTATTATTATCCCCCACTTTTAGGAGATATCTGAGATCTTAGCTCCTGATCCTTTGGGATACCTTCCCTGTTCCTGCCGGAGGATGCTGATATAGAGCTTAGTCATCACTCAGTAGGAACCTGGCTCAGTCTAGAGTATCCTACTAAAGAGAATGACCATGTCAAAGTGACTTATTACCAGGGAGCTCTCCAGACCCTACAATCACAGGTATCACTATTAATTTCCACATCATTAACCCTTAGGGCCCACTCCCTAGTGCTCAATGTAGAGAGCAGGATGAGATTCAAAACTGCCTCTATCTGACTACCTAATAACCCAACCAGCCCAACTCTTGTCTTACTTACATGCTCCTCTTAACTCATCATCTGGACCAGCAACCTTAAAACTAAAAACCTTCAGCCAACATAGCATTAGTAGCTAGGAAGCCCAGGAAGGGTGCACCGGGATACATTGGACAGCACCCGAGAAACTTCAGCAGCTTGGGAGGTTGTTCACCTCTGAGGGCAAGTTGAATAGAACTGATGTATCCACATGAAAGTGTGGCATGGTGGAAAGTTTTGGCCTGAAGAGTGTGTTTCAAATTCTGATTCTAACAGTTGTTCAGTTTTCAATCATGTCCAACTCTTCATGACCCTATTTAGGGATTTTCTTGGCAGAGCTACTGGAGTTGTCTGCCATTTCCTTCTCCATCTCATTTTACAGATGAGGAAACTGAGGTAAACATGGTTAAGTGACTTGCCCAGGGTCACCCAGTTAGTGTCTGAGGCCATATTTGAACTCAGGAAGATGAGTCTTTCTGATTCCAGGCCTAGTATTCTATCCGCTGCACCATCTGGTTCTAACACTAACTAGCTATGTATCTACGGGGAAGTTACTTAATCTCTCTGAGCCTCTCAGTTTTCTGTAAAATGGGGATAATATTCATAGTGCCTGCCTCACAGGCTTGTTGTGAGGAAAATCCTTGGTGACCCTTAAATTACTAAAGAAATGGAAGTTACTGTTGTGTCTGCATGAAAGACCATTTGTTAAGATCATAGCCACATTGGGGGGCATGTGGGGCACAAGCCCCATCTGGAAGTCTTCTCCTTCCATAGTCACTTCTATATTTGTGCACCCACTATTTATGGGGTCTCATTTATTCAATACATATTTTTAAATCATCTCCTTGTGTATGGAGTGCAGTGGCAAAGGCTGAAGGAGATACCAACATGAACTTCATAGGATTAATCCTATGGCATACAGGCATATAGGCAATCCTATAGCATTAATGCTATAGAGGAACTGAGTTAACTCTGAGCCTAATCCCCACCCCCCCCAACCCTAGACTGGTGTGTGTGTATGTGTGTGTGTGTATTATACCCCAAGATGTTGGAGCGAATGTCTATACGTTTGTTCTTAGTATATCTTTGAATAAATGTCCCTTTGTAAAAGCTAATACAATTTGAAGTGGTTGAATGAAACTCAGGTGCTAGGCACTGAACATCTACAAATGAGTGGAACACAGCCAGTGAGGCTAGAGCAGATGGCAGAGAAGAGAAACTCTCTGATCCTTTCAGAGTCCCTGAGGACCCTGCAGAGAGTCAAATAAACAGGCCTGGACCTGAGAGAGGGGGGCCAGAGCATCTTTCACCTTTATTTCTGTATATATTCACACCACCCAGCCTCTAGTAAAATGCAAATAAACTCCTTAAAGTAGTGACTTTTTTTGTTTGTTTGTTTGTTTGTTTTGTATCTCCAGTGCCTAACACAATGCCTTGCACCTTTGTTGTTGTTCAGTCCTGCCTGAATCTATATGACTCCGTGGACTTTGTCAGTAGGGTCTTCTTTGCAAAGATACTGCAGTGGTTTGCCATACCCCAGGTGTCTCCATTTTACAGATGAGGAACTGAGGCAAATAGGGGTTACGTGACATGCCCAGGATCACAGAGCTAGTAAATACCTGAGGCTGGATTTGAACTCAGATCTTCCTGACTCCAGGCCTAGTGCTCTATTCACTATGCCACCTAGCTGCCCCAATGTCTTGCACCTTAAAGGTGATAAATAAATGTTTACTGAATTGAACTGAATCTGACCCAATTCCAAGGAACAGAAACCCAGAGAGGGAAGAGAACAAGCATTTATTAAGTGCCTGTTATCTCATTTGAGTCCATCCATTTGATCTGTCCAAGTTCACACAAGGCAGAGGCAGAATAAGAACTAGAACTCAGGTCTCCTGAGGTCTAGCTTAGTGTTCTTGCCTCTACACACAATGCCTCATAAATCTTAAACAGCATGGACAGGACAAGACTATGGTGCCTTTCTTCTGAATTCATTACATGGTAACTCGGTCATATTAGGTGAAATGTATTGCTTAAATATTTTAGTATAAATCAGTTGAGTAGCATCAAAAAGCATCTTTCATTTAAATCTATTGTGCTACCTCCTAGGACAGGGGTGGGGAATCTTGGGCCTCGAGGCCACACATGGCCCTTTAGGTCCTCAAATGCAGCCCTTGTGAAGTTTGGATTCAGTCAAAGAGCTGAACTTGAGGACCTAGAGGGTCACATGTGGCCTCAAGGCCACAGGATCCCCACTGCTGTCCTAAGACATGTATTACTCACTGAAATGGGAGTGGGGAAGGGGGGAAGGAAAAAATCTTGAAAGACATAAAACTGAAAAGATTTAAACTTTTCCATATCTTTATTATTGAAACTAATTTTAAATATAACTTTAAAAAATGAAAAGATAATAAATTCAATACTTAAAACCAAGAACTTGTGGTGTTTTAACCTCTTCATTTTCTTCTCCCCTGCCAAGCAAGGAAATAAAAGATGGCTGAAACACCTGTGTGAGGTCATGGAAAGAGCCCCTAGGGATCACAAGACCTGGGTGTGAATCTTTCTCTGAAAGCCTGGGCAAGTCACCTCACTTTTCTGGACTTTTGTTTCTTCATTTATAAAAAATGAAGCCCTTGGATGAAATGATCTCTAAGGTCCCTTTCAGCACCAAATCCTACAGTCCTATGACCACTATCAGTGCTGACATTGCTGGCACCACCTTTCCCTTGAATCTCAGTCCCAAGGATGGGCTCTATCTCTGCTCCATGATTTGAAGTCAAGGTAGGGTTGCAAGGGACCTCAGAGATCATCGAGCACCACTCCTACCCCACCCAAACCCCATTTACAAAGGAAGAATTGAGACCCAGAGAGGTTAAGGGACTTGCCAAAAGTTACATGGGTCTTGAATTCCAAGCCAGCTACTGCACCATTATCTTATGTCAAATTCACAGCAATTTCCCTAAAAAAAAAAAAAAAAACTGAGCTACTGAAGTTCTATGTTCCCATCTCTCTTGGCCACAATCTACAGTTAAACCCAAAGGACAGTGATAAAACTCATGGAGGCCCAGAAGTACCAAAGAGATTCTCAGCATGGCAAGATCACAGCACATGGATGCTTGATTGTCTGGAGCAAGCAGCACTGATCCATATCGGGGAGGAGGCAGGGGAGTTAGAAGGCATAGGAGATGCTCAAGGAGCCAAGAGGAAAAGTCAAAAGTTGAGCCCATTCTGTTCTGGTAAATGGGGCCATTCAGGAGGAAACCCTAGGGTACAGGGCTGCATTCTAACCATTCTTGTTGTTTTAGTTTCAGACCAATCTGCTACTTCTTGCCTCTCACAACAGTGTGAGATGTTGCAACTATATACACTGAGGTCAGAGGACAATGTCTCCTCTTTGCCTCCCTAATCATGGCTAGAAGCCAGGGTAGTCAGGCACAGATGCAACCCCAGTCACATCTGAGGACAATGGAGTGGGACAGAACGGTCCTGCCCCCTGACCCCCATAACTGTGCTTGGGAGGATGGGCTGTTTCTATTGTCCCTGGCATGGGCAAGGTCTCCACTATCTGGGAGATAGCCAGAGTCAAGACCGTAATGTGACCACTTTGACTTTTTCAACCACATCAGAAAGGTGTGAGGATCATATCGCCCAGACAATGCAACTGCCTGGCTTTGTTTCATTCACTACATTTTGCAAAATGTATTTATTTAACTATCAATATGTGCACAGAAGACAGAGACCAAAGACATTGTCTCCAAGACACTGATAAGACCCAAGGGAGGGGAACAGCAATATGGCTCAGAGCATTGGATATCTCCAAGAGTCATCAGTGGGGTCAGAGTAGAAAAGACTCCCTAGGCACTCTTCTATCAGCAAATCTTACATATGGAGAAGGGATTTCCAACAGAGGCATCAGACTTCATACCACACACATTTTTAAAAGTTAAGACACTGGATGCTTCTTAAGCAAGAAGTAATACTGGGTCATTGAACTGGCAAGAAAGGGTCAAAATATACACATCTTTAAAGACCCCTAACACTCAGCTTGATTTCTGGACAATGACCAACGGTGACTTTGAGAGGAGTGAGGCCACAGTCTCATAAATAAAAAGGACAAAATCACTTTGGAAAGTCAGAGTAGGCAGCTAAGGAAGTGAGTGACAAGGGTAACAGCCCACTTCCTCGTCTTGAGGGCAGGATGGATGGATTGATTGAACTCTCTTGTCTAAAAAAGATTCTACTGCATCCCTGAGAAGCAGTATTTCTTCTCTGCACAGCGTAGAGAACTCGAAGAAAACATGAAGAAGCTATTCTCATCACCAGTAGCCACAAAGCTTTCCAAAATGAGAATGCCCTTCTCAGCTGCATACTTTTCTTTCAGGATTGCAGTTTCTAGGACCTTGTTTTTTTTTTCTCTCTCTCTACTATGAGTCACTACCCAAGAATGGGCAAGGATTTCACTGCCAGGTTGGTTTCTGGGCAATCATTAGCTGGAATGCTGTACAGGAGAATGTTTGCCCACCTAGATGGGTTATTCACACATCACTAGTAGCAGACACTGTGCTGCTGATCAGCTGGATTCTTTGGAATATGAAGTGATCAGTGGCTTCCACGACTCTGCCCACCTTCAGGATGAATTCTGCACATCTCCCAGCTAAAGGCACCGGATGGGGGAAATGGCACAGAGGTGCTCAAAAGGAAAAAAACGTTCTTCCTGCTGCTGCTCTTCTTTCTTTCTGACCTTAGGGAATAAACTGAATAAAAAACAAAGAAAACCTAAGCAACCTCGGAATCAAAAGGGACCCCAGAAGTCAGCCAGCCCAACTGGGATCTAAGCAAGAACCCCCTCCATTGCAGCTCTGACAAGTTACCAGCCAGGATATTCTCAACGACCTCCAGTAATGGGGAAACATGCCTCCCCTCCCAAGAGAGCCCATTCCATTTTTGAACACCTTTGATTGTTAGGAAGTTTTTCTTCCTATCAAACCTAATTTTAAGCCTTTCTCTGCAGTTTCCACCATGGCAGATCCTCTGACCACATCTAGAATATATATTCCACTCTAGGTACCACATTTTAAGAAGGGCACTGATCATATAAAGCGATGGGGACAAAGATGATTGAGGGGACTGAATGAATGCTAGGACATACTACCATCTGTTGAATAATGAGGTATGTCTAACTTAGAGGAAACACTAGATTCAAGTATTTGAAAAAATTATCATGAGGAAGAAGGATTAGGCTTATTCTATTTGGTTCCAGAGCCATAACTCGGAGCCATGGGGAGAAGTTCCCAAGAGGTAGCTTACTACTTCTTATAAGGGATAACTTCCTGACAATTTAAGCTAGCCCACAGTGTAAAGAATGCCCCAGTAGTTAGTGAGTTCCCCATCACTGGAAGTCATTAAGTAAAAGGCTGGATATCCACTTCTCAGGGATGCTGTAGAGCAGAGGTGTCAAACTCACAGTCCATAAAACTCTGAAGAGGGAACCAGACTTAAATATAATTGGGAAAATGTTTAACAAAATTTAAAAAAATACAATACAGCATAGGTAATGTTAATTTGTGGTTTTCTAAGTCAGAGTTTGACATCACTGCTGTAAAGGAGATTTTTGCTTTTACAAATTAGACTTGAATTAGAATAATGCCAAATGAAGCTCCTTCCAGCTAGGAGACTGGTTCTAGTCCTCCCCTGGGACTAGGTAGATCAAGTCTCATCCCCCTTCTTGGTGACAGTCTTTGAGATGCTGAAAGACAGCAATGTTCTGGCCTTAATGCTTCTATTTTTCATCTAAGCTGGGTCCTAAGAAATCAAAGCTTCAGAAGCATTGTGAGTTGGAAGGCACCTTGGACGGGATCTCATCCCACCTTGACAATATCACGTTCAAAGCTTCTCCACCTAAGGCCTTGGAAGATTATTTGACAGCTCCCCACATCAAGGGAGTAAAGGCAGCTCTCAGCTGGATAAGGACACTCTACTACCTTCCCAGGACCAAAGTGCAAAAGTTATCACCTACCTTGGTAACTCTCCTAAAGTGTCCGGGGTAAGGTGGGGCTCTGTTTGATGACCCACTCCCCATGAGGGTTGATGTGGTACAGGTCTAAGAGGTAAGTGTCTGGATCCAGGCAATGTTCACCTGTGGGGCAAAGGGACAATTGAAATGCAGGCATCAGAGTTGGTGGAAATGGAGGAGGCAAGGAAAAACAACTAAAAGAGCAAGAAGAGGAAGAGAAAGAAGATAACCATATATCTGTAGGGTTTTAAATTTTTCAAAGACCATGTCCTTAGGTGATGCAAGTCTTTATTGTATAGGTGAAGAAGCTGAGGACCAGATTAGGTAAAATGACTTCTCCAAGATCATACAACTAGTATGTATCAGACCTGAAAAGAGCATAAAGGAGGAGAAAGAGGAAAATAAAGAAAAGGAGGAGGGGGGAGAGGAGGACAGAGAAGAGAAGAAGGGAGAGGAAGTAGAGAGAAAAAATAACAACACGAAGAGAAAGACCACATTTACACACGGTTTTAAAGTTTTCAAAGACCTTTCCCCATGTAAATAGGTGAAGAGTGAGGGCCAGAGAAAGGAATGTCTTGGTCGAGGTCACACAACTATAATAAGCATCAGAGTTGGGAAGAGCAGGAGAAAGAAGAGGAAGAAGTGGAAGGAAGAGAATAAGGAACGGGAAGAAGAGGAAAAGGAGGAAGAGAAAGAGCACCACACTTCTACAGGGCTTCAAGCTTCCAAAGACTCTTCCCTGTGTAATCTAAGTATTAATTGTATAAGTGAAGAAGCTGCGGGAGAGAAAAGTAGAATGACTTTTCCAAGGTCATCCAGCTATTAAGGGTCAGAGCTGAGATTCAAATCTAGGTGGCCTGACTCCAGATCCAATGTTGTTTCCACCAACCCATACTGCCTCTCATAACAAATGTTTCTGACAAACAAGGTTCATTTTCTGAAATCATTTGGGTTGGGAATATTCCATGGATTTTAGCAGATACTTGGTGAATTGCCTTGTGGCCAAGTAGACTGCAGAACTTCTAAATGCTATGCTCTAAACCAGGGGTGGGGAACTTGAGGCCTCGAGGCCACGTGCGGCCTTCTACATCCTTCTAGGTCTGTGGCCTTTTGACTGAGCCCAAGTTTCACAGAACAAAAACAATCCCCTTTTATTAAGGGGATTTGTTCTGTGAAGTTTGAGTCTAACCCCACATCGTTCTACCATTTGGGAGAGAAACATTTGGCCTCCAGCGATTATAACACAGAACTTATGAGACCAAGGCTATGGACTGCATCTGTGTAGGGGCTGGCTAGGTCCCACAGAAAAATATCCTATATTCCATAGCCACAGCCTGACTGACTCCAAATTCTATTTTCAGCCTCACCTGTAACTCTGTCCTCATTCTGAGTCCCTAAATCCCAGGCCATTTATTCATTCAACATTATTAAAAACCCATCATAGGAGCAGCTAAGTGGTTCAGTGGATAGAGCACTAGCCCTGGAATCAGGAGGACCCAAGTTCAAATTCAGCCTCAGACACTTACTAGCTGTGTGACCCTGGACAAGTCATTTAACCTCGACTGCCTCAAAAAACCAAACAAACCAAAAAATTCTATCATGTACTGCAAACTGTGTGCAGAGGCAGGTACTGAGAGAGATACAATGTTTAAGTAAGTACCCCTCTTATTAGAATGCTAGCTCCTTAAGGACAGGGACTGTCTTTCATCTTTCTTTGTATCTCCACCACTTAACCTGGTACATAGTCAGGGCTAATGTTTACTGACTGGCTTGACTGCTCTCAGAGAGCATATGGCATAGGAGATGGGTATGACACAAATATAGATAACTGTAAAACACAGTATTAACTAAGTGCATCAGAGATAGGTGAAACAAAATGCAAGGTAAATTCTGAGTCCCTTCAGACTACAAACAGAACATATCTAGGTAGGCTTCTTGGAGAAGGCAGAATATGAGCTGGGCTTCAAAGAGGAGAAAAAGAAAGATGTTCCAGGCAAAGGGAACAGTATGAACAAAGCTATAAAGTGGGAGAGCACATGGTGAATTAATTCAGAGAAAGCTGACAATTATGCAGTTTCCCTGAAGTTTTGCATGTCCAAAAGGAAGTAATATCAAATAGGGTTAGAAAGGTATAAGAGTAGGTTATGGAAAGCCTTGAAAGGCAGGCAGAGGAATCTGAGCTTTACTCAGAAGGCAACAGGGAGCCCCTGAAGACTATTGAGCCAAAGGCTGAAATGAGTAGCCAGATCTATGCCTGACCTTTCTAAACCCACCCAAAGCCCGACACCAGATCCCCAACTTCACAATGACTCCTGTACCCAGATCAGATGCCATCTCTCCTCGCATTTGGCCAGAAACAATTGCTTCCACCTCTGAACCCTCAGAAAACTTTTCACCTCTCTGAAGGCATTTAAAGAAAACAGTTTCATCTTAAAGTTATCTGGGCATCTACAATATCTTCCCTGTTAGGCTGTGAGCTCCGCAAGGTCAGCAACAGCTATTTTATTTATATGATCATAGCCATCAGAGCTAAAAACGACTTGAGAAGTCATTAAGTCCAACCCCTCATTTTACAGATGAAGAAACAGAAATGGTTAAGTGACTTGCCTAAAGTCACCCAGATTAGTTAAGTAAGAGAATCAGGCTTTGACCTGTGGAGGCATATTTTAAAACCTTTTTTTTTTTTTCAAAACTAAAAGTACTAAGAAATAATGTTTTTGTCTAAAGCCCTTTTTAAAAACCTTGGAAAAGCCCCTTGGAAAGGTAGGTACAGGACAAAAAGGATTCTTCATTGGGAAATGGAGTAAGGGTAGTGGCCAATCTTTTAACCAAGAATAACTCTTGTCTAGTTGACATCACTGCTTCCACACTCAAAAGAAATGAAGTGACTAGTGCCAAGAGCTACCCTTTTCTCTAGAGAAAGGATACTGATATTTATCTGGGGAGGAGGCCCCTTTGTTTATTCCTGGAGTGAGAGGAGTGGTTTAAGAGGGAATGGGATTGTTTACTTGACTATCCTGGAAGGGTAACCCAAACTGTGTTGTAATGATCTACTTCCTTGGGATTCCTATAATCATCTTGGGGTAGAGCGCTGTGCCAGAGGACAAAGGGGACTATGGCTTTCTTTACAGATGGCTGAAGTTGGGCTCTCAGCTCCCTACACTTTGCATCTGCTGCTCTGCCTGGTTTCAAATACATGGAACAAGATGCCCTCCTCATCAGGTACCCCTTGATGTCCCTGCCTCTCCCCAGCTCCATCTTCCTGCCTCCTTTTGTGTGTTGTTTTCCGCCATTAGATTGTAAGTTCCTCGAGGGGCTAATTATATCCCCAGCACTTAGCACAGTGCCTGGCACATAGTAGGCACTTAATAAACATTTAGTAAATTGAAAAATATTCAATAAAATTGTTTCTGGAAGAGTTGATCCTAAAAATAGAGTACAGCAACAGTATTAATATTATTTTTTCTTCGACAGAACCTAGGCCATGTAATTTCAAATCCAGTACTCTTTTCATTGAGCCACATTTAGTTTTCCCCACAGTCTTAAGCACAAGGCCTAGATAGTGGGTGTTTGAATATTGAGCTGATGAATGAATGAGTGAATGAATGAATGAGCGTAATCCCACAATCAAGAAGCCTTCCTCTTTGATTGCCTTCATAGAAGTGTCCCACTCAAAGAGAGAATGACCAATAGATTCGGATCATTGCCAAAGCGACTGTCTGAAAGGCCCAAGGGCAGACTTACTTATGTTCCCACCAACTTCATAGAGGAGTAGGTTTGATGATTCAATAGGCCCATTACTGCAGAACACAGAAGAAAGATACATATGTCAGCGAGGATGGTCCAAAGGCAGTCACAATGACACAAGCTCTCATTTCAATGGGGCTTTAAGGTTTGCATAGGACTTTTCAAACAACCACCTATGAGAAAAGTAGGGAAGTAATTATTGCCTCTATTTCATAGAAGATCACCAAAGCGACCTCAGTGACCATTTAGTCCAAACTCTTCATTTTATAGATGAGTCAGTTAAGGCTCAGCGCCATTAACTGCCTTGCCTTTGGTTATGTACCTAACTACTAGTAAGCTGGGACTGGAAGCCAGGTTTTTTAATTTGAAATTCAGTGACCTTTCTACTAACTTCATAATACTTCTCCAGCATGAATGGGGGGGAGGGGGCTCTTTAAAGACCCCACACCCAGAAGTGCAGGCCCCACTGATCTCTTAGGTATAATCTTGGACAAGTCCCTTACCCACTCTCAGCTTTGGTTTTCTTCTTTGTAAAATGAAAAGATGGGAATGGGTGATATCTAAGCTCCTTTCCAGCTCTAGATATCATGGTCTGGTCAGGGAAAGGCACAAAGGCATATACCAACACTGAGCACCAGGTCTTTACAAGAGGGGCAAAGAATATAACTAAACAGATTTGACTCGTGCACAACATATAGAGGCCTGCAGAAAATTAACTCAGGCCAACAACCGCAAGAGCGGCCTGGTCAAAGCCCCAGGTTAAGGGATAGGAAAGGGGGGGTCCAATTTTAAGCCCTTTCCCTCCCTCCCTTCCTTCCTTCCCTCCTGGCTAGGGGTGGGCATAGGTGTAGTAATGTATAGAGGACAGGGACCTTAGTCTGTTCCATTCACTGGCAGACATTTTTCTTTGAGATAATACTTGTTACAGGAGAATTTGAGCCCTGTGCTATCTTAACTGAGTTTGAATCTGAACTAAGATATTGATTACTTTTGACAAATCGCTTTCCTTCTCAGGCTGCACTTTATGTCTAAAATGAAGTAGTTGGGCTAAATTAATTATAAGGTCCCTTCCAGTTCTAAACTCTGATACATGAATTCAATCCTATTGATGATAAGAAAAATCCCTAATAGTTATTATCTACAGTGAACAACAGTGACTAAGTTTAAATTGAACTTGGGAGTCAGGAGAACTAGATTCTAATCCTGGTTCTGTATGTTACTACCAGTATGACCTTGGGAAAGTCCCTTTCCTTCTTTGAGATTTGACTTCCACATGTGTAAAATGAAGGAAGGGGACCCTGAAGGTTCTCTTCTGCCTTGAGATTCTGGAAAATTTTTGTGTAAGTGGGCCTCAATCATACTGTCAACATGGTTGGCACTGGCAGAGGGCAAAGCCTCTCATCATCATCACAAAGTCACCCAATGGACTGAACTTGAACCGCTGCTTCCTCTGCTCCCAAAAGGGCAGGCAGCAATGATGGGGTGAGCCATCAAAGGCACTCGGTCTTGGGGCTTACTTTCTGCTAGGATCCTGCCTGCTATAAGCAAGGTGGTCAAAGAAAAAACACTTTGTAAAAGTACACTATTTAGAATATAGGGGGCAGCCAGGTGACACAGTGGATAGAGCACTGGCCCTGGAGTCAGGAGGACCTGAGTTCAAATTCTGCCTCAGACACTTGACACTTACTAGTTGTGTGACCCTGGGCAAGTCACTTAACCCCATTGCCTAGCCAAAAAGTAAATAAATAAATAAAATAGAATATAGAAGCACTATAGAAATGGAAATTATTGTTATCCTGTCCTTCCACAAAAGTAACCATATCTTTCTCCTCCAAGGCCAAGGCATGAATAGATTTAGAGCAAAGGATATTAAACAATAGGTCAGCTGCCCTTCAAAACATTCTCCATACACTGCCCAAATTGGCTTTCTTCTCTGAGGGGAGAGGCATTCTCTCCCATTAGACCACAGCAGCTCTCTTTGGTCACCCTAGACAGCTACATGCCTCTTTAAGGGTGCTTGGGGGCATGTGGGCTAGTATTTAATGTTAAAGCTTATGCTATCATAGCTAACTATGAAACTAAAGAGTTGAAAGGAACCTTGGAGGTCATCTAGTTGAACACTCACATTTTACAAGGGAGGAAACTGAGGCCCATAGAAGGGAAGTGATTTGTATAAGGTTATGCAGAAAGTTAAGCGATAACTTAACACAAATTTAATTTGAAATTCAGTGACCTTTCTACTAACTTCACAATACTTCTCCAGCATGAATGGGGGGAGGGGGCTCTTTAAAGACCCCACACCCAGAAGTGCAGGCCCCATTAGAACTGGGGATAAATCTAGGGATCTGGCATTAGGTCCTCTGGCTCGAAGTCTGACACCCTTTCTGTTCTACAGCATTTATTTATTTATTTTAGTTTTCAACATTCACTTTTATAAGATTTTGAGTTCTAAATGTTTCCCCTCCCCAAGACAGCATGTAATCTGATATAGGCTACATATGCACAATCTCTATATGCAAGCTATACATGCACAGCATTTAGAGCAGGAAAGGATCTTAAAAGACTACCTGGTGTAACCTTTTCATTTTACAGAAGGGAAAACTGAGGGTCAGAGAAAGGAAGCAACTTACCTGAGGTCACAAAGCTGTAGTGGTTAGAACAAAGAGCTAAAGAGGGACCAAGGCTGTGGACCTAATTTTTGTAGGGCAAGCTAAAAGGCAGAGGCAATATTCAAACTAGGGTCCACTGATTCTGAACTCAATGATCATGAGCTCACTAGTTGGGGCCCCTGGAGTTTTCAGGCAGGAGTTACCATTGGATTAGGTTGACAGTCTTCATGACATTCCAGCTGTTGGAGCAGAGGTGTCTCTGGAACTGCTTAAGCACATCAGCAGCTTTGGTGCTGTTGTGTAGATGCACCTCTAAACAGTCCTTTAGGAGCAGAGCGGCCTGGATTTTCACCACTTTGGATGGCTGAGGAACAAAGAATGCAGACGTGCATACACAAACATGAAGAGACGTGTTAAAGGAGAACGGAGTTCCTCCCACTGCTCTGTAGGCTGCACCCCTGACTCTCCTGGACTTTTTCTATAATGCCCCAGATTGCAATCACCCTGCAAGATCATTCCACTTCTGGATTTCTCACATTGGAAATACCCTCCACCCCTGTGACCTCTCTCCCTCTGATCAATTGATTCTTCCCAGATCCTCCTTTAAAGGAAGATGCCCAAACCGGCTAGATGGCTCAGTGGACAAAATGCTAGACCTGGAGTCAGGAAGTCCTGAGTTCAAATTCAGCCTCAGTCACTTACTAGCTATGTGATCCTGGGCAAATCACTTAACCTCTGTTTGCCTTAACCCACTGGAGAAGGAAAGGGCAAATCATTCCAGTATCTTTGCCAAGAAAACCGCATGGATAGCATGGTCCACAGGGTCAGGAAGAGGTGGACGTGGCTGAACTGGACAACAATAAGCCCAGACCAGCCATGTCTTAATCCCTCTACAGGCTGTACTTCGGACTCTCCAGACGTGCTTTACAATGCTTTCCTCACCAGGTACCTTCATCATCCTCCAGCCCCTTTCCAGCTTCCTTTTAGGTTATCTTCCCCCATTAGAATGTAAGCTCCTTGAGGGAAGGGGCTGTTTTTTCATTCTGTTTGTATTTGCTTTCTAGTACTTGGCATGGTGCCTGGCATATAATGAATAGTAAGCACTTAAATGCCTGTGGACTTGACAGGTGTACACACCCCAGGCAAACTGACCAATCTGCTGCCTGACATGCCTTCTCCTTTCTCCACTTCTCGTCTCCCATGCCTGGAATGCACCCTCCTCATCTCTACTCTTAGAACCCTTGGCTTCCTTCAAGGCTCTGCCCAAGCGCCATCTCTTCATCGCTCTTCAGTCATGTCCAACTCTTTGTGACCCCATTTGGGGCTTTCTTGGCAAGGATACTATAGTAGTTAACCATTTCCTTCTCCAGCTCATTTTACAGATGAGGAAACTGAGGCAAACAGGGTTAAATAACTTACCCAGGGTCACACAGCTAGTAAGCATCTGAGGCCAAATTTGAACTCAGGTCTTCCTGGCTCTAGGTACATTGTGCTACCTAGCTGCCATCTCCTACACAAGGCCAATCCTTCTTCTTCCACGGGTTAGTGCCTTCTCTTTTGAAATGACTTTGTATTTTTAAATATCTATTTTGCATTTACTTATCTGTGTACATGCAGCTTCCCCTGGGAGAATTTAAGGTCATGGAAGGGAACGAGTGCTTTGCTTTCACATAGTGCCTCGTACAGAGTAGGTGCTTAATAAATGCTTTTTGAATCAATGAATAAGTGAATGATACAGACTCTAGAAGGCTGAACAGAGAAGATGTGCACAATTCATTAAATACCTACTATGTATTTTCAATGATCTCAAGCTGGTCCTTTTGTATTTCTTTTGATTCTTTTTGGAAATGCCCTAACATTGTGAATCATGGGACACCACAATCCCAGAAGAATCACAATTTGGACAATCCCAGGGTCAATGGGACTCTGCATGCTGGATGTGAGCACATTACCAATGATGTCTTCTGAGCTTTGACATGAGAAATGGCCTCAAAAACAGCACCAATGGGAAAGGGAGGTGAGAGCTGTTAAGTACTAAGACTGGGGGATAACCCAGGTGGGCAGACCAAGCATTAACTGGAGCCCACAAAGTCCAGGTGAAGCCTGAACCCCTTTAGGTTAACAACAGAGAAGAAGAGAGCAGCCTCCTTGCAGGAGATGAGATTTAAAGGCTGAGTAGGAATACATTGGGTAAAAAGAACCAGAGAAGGCCCATAAGCATACTAGATGGCTCCTTTATGGAGGATTCACAGAAAGCTACAAACAGGATGAGAAGGCATAGGTGAGTTGCTATATGCACCTGTGGAGGGAGTAGCGGGCTGATGAGATCACACATCTATTGAAGGGCTGATTTACAGGTAAGTCAGAGTCGGAGGCGGGGGGGGGGGGGGGAGAGCATAAAGTCAAAAAATTACAATAATCCCTACTCTCAAGGAACTTAAGATCCAGTATGGGGATTCAACAGGTGTACCTTTAAGTAAGATATAAACAGGAGTGTGCTAGCTTGGGCAGCTGGATGGCTCCATAGTGAACAGAGTGCTGGGTCTGGAGTCAGGAAGATTCATCTTTCTGAGTTCAAATCTGACCTCAGACTTGCTGTGTGACCCTGTGCAAGTCACTTAACCCTGTTTGCCTCAGTTTCTTCATCTGTAAAATGAGCTGGAGAAGTAAACGGCAAACTACTCCAGTATCTCTGGCAAGAAAACCCCAAATGGGATCAGAAAGAGTTGGCTATGACTAGGCAATTGCTAAATTTTCAGTGTGAATGTTTACACCTTGGAAACTGATAAATGCTACAACTCAGAACTTGATTTATTATTGTCTTGTTGATTGTCTAGACTTAAGAAAGTAATGAGAAAATGTGAATGCAGATTAAAATGTAAAGTACATCATGGGCAGAGGTGTTCTCCCTCCCCCAAAAAAGAGCTGGTTGTTAAATACGTACCAGCACACTCTAGGATATAAGATAGAGTGAAAGGGAAGATACAAAGTACACTAAGAAAATGCAAGGAAGAAGAGAACTATCTCTGCACCCTTAGGACTTCTAAGGTTTTTCCATCAGTTCTGCAGGTGAATTCTCGTATATGTGTTGTCTCTCTCAGTTAAAATATAAGCTCCATGAAAGCAGGAAGTGTTTCACTTTTCCATTTGTATACTCAGGGCTTAGCACATAGTAAGTGTTCAGTAAATGCTTTTTCATGTATTCAGTCATGTGGAAGAACTGACATCTGCCTTTAAGGATGAGAATGGCTTCAAAAGGCAAAGAGGGGGAGAGAATGAATGTGTTCCAGGCATGGGGGACAGGCTGCAAAACTAGAGAAGAGTTAGTAGCACACTCTGATTAAAGAGAGAGAAATGATGAAAGGGAAATATTGTGAAATGTGAAAGGCTATGGAAGACCTTGAATAAAAGCTAGGCTTGGGAGATCATATGTTGTTCTGAAGGCAATGGAGAACCACAGTAGGTGTGCACACACATCGGATGGACACAGGAAGTTTAATAAAACAGCATGTGAACACAATAGCCTTTTTGTTGTTTAGTCATGGCTGACTCTTTGTGACCCCATTTGCAGTTATCTTTTTGTCATTTCCTTCTTGGCTCATTTTACAGATGAGGGAACTGAGGCAAACAGGGTGAAGTGTCTTGTCCGGGATAACACTGCTAGTAAGGGTCTGAAGCCAAATTCGAACTCAGGAAGATGAGTCTTCCTGACTCCAGGCTCAGCACTCTATCTCCTTCCCCACCCGGCTGCCTGAATGGCCTTTAGAAGGCTATATGAACACACACACACACACACACACACACTTGCACACAAATGGACTTTGGAAGGCTAAGGAGAGAGAAGCATGAACACATAGACACACATTCTCACATAGGCACGATTCACTTCTCTGTATTGGGCTTTAGCCAAGAAATCATGTCATTGGTGCATGCAAGAATCCAAAATGAGGGGGCAGCTAGGTGGTGCAGTGGATAAAGCTCTGGCCTTGGTGTTAGGAGGACCCAAGTTCAAATTCAGCCTCAGACACATGACATCTACTAGCTGGGTGACCCTGGGCAAGTCACTTAACCCCAATTGCCTCACCAAAAAACAAAAAACAAAACAACAACAACAAAAAAAAAAGAATCCAAAATGAGGGTGAGCTTATTGGTGGTGTGTGGTCTTTCCAAAGAGCATCTAACATACTCAAAAGAGGTGACTAACACCTTGATGGATTTAAAGGCTGTTGAAGCTTTGAATCCCTTTGTTTTTAGGGAGAAGCTGCACCTCCTTCTGCCTCTCGGCATCCAGAGGCAGAGGTCTCCAGCCCAGACAGAAGCCATTCTGCAGAGTAGGGAGGGTGGGACACCTGGGAAAAGCTCCCAGAGGAGGCCCAGGGTTAGGTGCCAAGGAAGCCAGGTTGAAAACAATGGCTCACATTCAGCCAGCCAGCCTCCGTCTTTTCACAGTACCAAGAGCTGTCGACATAAATAAATACATAAAAACAACCTCAGAGCCAAATTGAATCACCAGCCCAGTTAGTATTTGGGAATAAAGTTGGAGTGCCCCCAGGTGTTCAGAGGTGGGATAGGTTTCTGTTTAAAATGACTAATCTGAGGTTGAATGATTGAGGAAGGCTGGCCATCCAATCCAATGGATTCCCCTTCATCCCCTCCACAAGGCTGGAGAAAAACTGCCAGTTAAACCCAGAAAAGTACTGTAGTGGACCATGGATTCATGCCTTCCTCTTCCTGCCCTTCAGCACAGAGCTACCCACAGCAGCATCGTTTCCCAGGAGGATTAGGTTCAGAGACAAGGATAATAAGGTCACAGGTTTTAAAGCTGGAAGGGACATCAGAGATCATCCAGTCCAACCCCCTTATTTTGCAGATGAATAAACTGAGACTCAGAGAAGGAGAGTGATTTACCCAAGGTCACACTGTTAGTAAGTGAAGTCTCAGGGGGGAAATGAGAACTGTTTTCAAATATTTGAAGAGCTGTCACATGAGAAAGGGAGTAGACTTTTTTCTTCTTGATCCCAGGAGTCAGAATGAGAAGCAATGAATGGGAATTGGAGAGAGACAATTTTAATTAGTCAGTCAGTAAAGAAGTGGGAGAACTTCCTAGAATGGAATGAGTTGCCTCAAGGGACTAGTGGGTTTACCATCTTTGGAAATCTTCAAAAGGGTTTGGATGGTCACTTAGCTAGGATCCTATAGCTGGGATTTGTGCTTAGTTATGGGCTGAATTAGAGCTATTTCTGAGGTTCCTTGTCTAGAGGCAGCTGGTGACTCAGCAGATAGAGCCCTGGGCCTGGAGTCAGGAAGACCTGAGCTCAAATTCAGCCTCAAACATGTACAAACTATATGACCTGAGGTAAGTAACTTAACCTCTGTATGCCTCAGTTTCCTCAACTATAAAAAGGGGATAATAATAGCACCTACCTCAAGGGGTTGCTGTATGGATCAAATGAGATAACATTTAGGGGCAGCTAGGTGGTGCAGCCTTGGAGTTAGGAGGACCTGAGTTCAAATCTGGCCTCAGACACATAACATTCACTAGCTGTGTGACACTGGGCAAGTCACTTAACCCCAATTGCCTCACCCCCCCCCAAAAAAAGATAATATTTGTAAAAAGTGCATAGCACAGTGCCTGGCACATAGTATCTGCCATAATAAATGCTATTTCTTTCTGCCCCTTCTAAGTCTGGGATTCTATCACTTTGAGAGCAAGGGAAACAAAAGGATCCCAGGAGTAAGAGATGGAAAAGACCTTGCAAATGGCAGGAATTTGTTTCTCTCTCCAGGATCAGACCCCACTGTCTATGACCACTAGAAACACCTATACCCTAAAGTCACAGATCAGTACAGGGGTACTGCTGGGTCAGTCTATGGGGGTGAGAACACAGAGTTAAATGGTTGGAAGGGACATGAGAAGCCATCTCCTCCAACCCCTTCTTTTTATAGATGAGGAAATGGAAGCCCAGAAAAGTGAGCCGATTTGCCCAAGGTTGCCCAGTGGTTAACAGCAGTCAGAATTCAAACTCGAAACCTCTGACTCCTAATCCACTACCCAGGGAGCAAGTTCAATTTCGAACCTTGTCCTTTTGGTATCTGATGGTATCTGAACTCCCAAACTCCATTTTAATTAGTGGAATCTGTCAACCACTCCTGGCAATGAGAAGACACACAAGATGCCCAGGGACGGGTACCATGTCTCGTAGAATGTACTTTGCCACCGCCTACAGCAGTGAACACAGAGCATACAGCAGGCACTTCACTGGGTGCTGAATCAAAGTGAAGATGGGGGATGGCTCCACACTTACCTCTCTAGGGGTCTTGTTTCCCTTGTCCTTGTCTGTGTGAATCTTCTTCAGGAAGTTCTTGATCCGTCTGTCATAGAACTGATGCCTCCAGCTGCTGTTCTCATTCAGTTTCCGGACTTGGGCAACCAAAAAGGAGGAGACCTAGCACCAAACAAAGCCAAGTGCAGTTGAAGCCAAGGTGGGTCCTCTCAGAAGGGAGGGAAATGCGGCAGACATGGGGAGGGGGGAGAAATTTTACTTTTAGCAGAGCGACATCCCAGTACCTCGGGGAACACGGTTACCCGGATAACTGAATTAGGACCGTCCCAGAGCCCATCATTCCTTTGTGGGGAAGAGGGCGTCGCAAGACCATACATTGAAAGCTGGAAGAGACACGAAAGCCCCTATCCCATCCCCTCATTTTATATATAAGGAAACAGGCTTTGAAAGCTTAACTGACTTGCCCAAGGTCACACAGATATTAAGTGATAGGGCCAGGATTTGAACCCAGGACCTCTGGTTCCAAATCCAACACTCTTCTTACTCAACCATTATGGCATTGAAACTTCCAGTAAAATGCATCAGGCTGATTCCCAAGCAGCATCTCTCATGTTCTTAAGGGTAAAATGTATAAAATGTGGGCAAACCTCATTTACCACAACAGTAATGTATGTAATGCACACAAACAAAATTATATTTGAAACGTTCAAAGGGTGTTTTTTATTTAAAGGGATCAATTTAAATCAATAAATGTACAATGAACAGCGTCAAGGTGCCCAGGACTATGTTCCTATGGTGAATCCTTTTGAAAAGTAAAAGATTATTTCATAAAAGGAATAATCATCCCTAAATGTGTCCATTTCTTTTTGTGAAGCAGTTGGGGTTTAGTGACTTGCCCAAGGTCACACAGCTAGTAAGTGTTGTTTCTGAGGCCACATTTGAACTCAGCTCCTCCTGACACCAGGGCTAGTGCTCTATCCACGGCGCCACCTAGCTGCCCTCCTCATTTTTTTTTTTTTTTTTACTTTTTGGTGAGGCAATTGGGCTTAAGTGACTTGCCCAGGGTCACACAGCTGATAAGTGCCAAATATCTGAGGCCAGATTTGAATTCAGGTCCTCCTGACTCCAAGGCTGGAGCTCTATCCACCGAGGTCCATTTTCTAAACCTTGATTAGCATAAGCCAAGTAATGATAAGCCTCTTTAACTTGAATTTTTTCATTCAGTTTTATGAGTCACAATTAACAATAATAATAGCTAGCATTTATGCAGTACTTTATGATTTGTAAAACACTTTACTTATGTTATCTCGTTTGATAACATATCAAAAAGGAAAACAAAGTGATCGAAATGGGTTGGGTTTTTTTTTTCTTTTCATAAAACCACTTTCTGAGGTCTGTCACTATCTGGATCAGTACAGAGTCATTCCCTTCTCCAAGCTCATCACCACCAACTTACAGTCCACAGAAGGTCCTGGTAATGGATCATGGCCCGGACAACATCGGCAGCACCCTCGGCCAGCTGCTTCCCCTTTCCCTCCGGGATTCTGTGAGGCTGCCCTTTATGCATGAAGAGATTCGGTGCCATCACCATGGAAACATTCCATAAAGTCATTTTGTTGCTCTGTTCTCGGGCAACTACCTTCCTGAGAAATTCCAGTAGGGCCTGGAGAAGGAAGGAGGAACAATACAGAGTAATAGGAAACGTAGTGGATTTGGACTCAGAGGACCTGGATTCAGATCCCAGCTCTGCCACTCACTAGCTGGATAACCTTAAGCTAGCCACTTCCCTTTTCTGGGCTTCAGTCTCTTCTTCTGTGAAATCATGGTGTCACACTACAGGGCCTTCCAGGTGTCTTCCATTCCTAAATCCTATGTCCGAGAGAAGGCAGTTGGAAAAGGCCAGCTCCCAATACTGAACCTTCCACCTCTCCCTGTTGAGTATTCCAGTTCTAATCCTGAGAGGCTATCGTTGGGATTATGGAGATCAGGGTTCTAGGGTCATTTCTGCCACCAATTTCCTGTGAGATCTTCAGCTCAGACTTCTCTGGGTCTGTGTACCCCTCTGTAAAATGGAATGAATCTCTTTCCTCTCTTAATCACTCTCTACTCCTTAGGGATATTGTAGTTTTAGAACTGGAAGGGACCTCAGATGCCATCTCAATAAATAATTAATAGACATTTATTAAACATCCATTAGGGGCCAGGCACTGTGCTAAGCCCTAATTCCTCCCCTCAACTCCCTCATTTTACAGATAAAGAAACTAAGGCCCATAGATAATCCATAATTATTAGAGAAGAAGTAAATAGTAGAGGCAGGATTTGAACCTGTATCATCTAACCTCAGATCCGATGTTCATTTCCATGGTATCCCACTAGCATCTCACAAAGGAGATGAGCAAGAGAAAACCAATAACACCACTTAGTTCCTTCTGAATAAAGGAGTGAAGGGTAGCTCAAACATTGCAATGATAACACTGATTTCCACACTTGCAAAGTTCTGTCCCTTCACTGGTGTGATGTCCCTGTCCCCTTTACTGCTGCAGAGGGTAACCTCTCTAAACCTTCACAGAGAGTTTCATAAATTGCTATGGCCAAAAAAATTCATCACCCAATAACTAATCTTGTTTGTGCAAAACCTTTTTAATTTAACATAATCAAAATTATCCATTTTATATCTCATAGTGCTCCCTATCACTTATTTGGTCATAAATTCTTCCCTTCTCCATAGATCTGACGGGTAAACTACTCCTTGCTCTCCTAGTTTGCTTATGGTATCACCCTTTATGTCTAAACCATGTATCCATTCTGACTTTATCTTGGTGTATAGTGTAAGGGGTTGGTCTATACCTAGTTTCTGCCATACTGTCTTCCAGTTTTCCCCCCAGTTTTTGTAGTAATTAATTTTGTGATGATGAATCTTTCTGACATTAGCTAGGCTGGTTCTTGAAGGAGGCTCCCATAGCCTAGCCTTGGTCTAGTAACTGATAGTTTTCCAAACAGAGGAGGCCTATTAGGGCTTGGGCCCCACTGGCTTAGCCTCTATGGACCCAGGATCATCTGGGGCATCAGGGTAAAACCCCACTATCACACAGCATATTATGTGACTTGGGTACATTACAGATCAAACTGTATCTCCTGTAACATCTCCATGAGTGAAAGCCTGATGTAACTCCATTAGCCAATGGTGCCTTTGTAAGTCCTGGCCAAAGACAAAGCCTGACCTTTAATGCATGTGTGCGAACAGGTTTGGGGCCAGATCCAGGGCTGTCTAGTGAAGAATATATTTGGGGATGCTCAGGGTAGGGGGGTAGAGGACATGCTGAGTCCCAGAGGGAGAGTGAAGTGAGATTGGGGCCTTACCTTTAAAGTGTTTCTGTTAGCTTCAGGAAGAATTAAGATGAGCAGATTCAGAGCCTGTAATCGTTGCTTCAGGTCTGGGATATCTGTTTGGGGGAAAAGCAGTAGAGATCTCTGTGGTGCAACTGGTGAGTGCATTCAGCTGCAACTGGAAGGCTGGTGGTTGAAGCCCATGCAAGGATGTGCTTTATGAAAGGCAGAAGACAGGGTGCTAGACTTGGAATTAGGAAGACCTGGGTTCAAATCTCACTTCAGACTATGTGACACTGGACAAGTCACCTCAGTTTCCTCAACTGTAAAATGAAGGGATTGGATTCTGTGGTCTCTAAGGTCCCTTCCAGCTTTGAACCTATAGTCCTATATAAGCTCTTAAAGGAAAGGGGCCACTTTAATTTGTCCTTGTATCCTCAGCCACTAGCACAGTGCTTAGCACATAGTAGGTATTTAATAAATGCTTGTAGAATACAGTTAAATCAAATAAACCACTCAACCACTTTATAGAGAAGGGCATCAGAGATGCAATCTTAGTACCATATCAAGAACGCTTGATACCCAGTTCTCTTCTGGAGGTCTCTTACCCTATTTTGGATTTAATTAGGAGGAAGCTGGGTGGATAGAGCCCAGGAGTTGGAGTCAGGAAGACTTGAATTAAAATCTGGCTTTAGATACTTACTAGCTATGTGACCCTAGGCAAAACACTTAACCTCTTTTTGCCTCAGTTTCCTCATTTGTAAACAGAGATAATATTAGGACCTACCTCCCAGGGTTGCTGCGATGATCAAATGAGATAATGTTTGTAAAGCACTTAGCACAGTGCCTCGAACATAGTAGGTGCTTAATAAATTCCTGTTATTATTGTTGTTGTAGTTAATCTGAGGATACCTTTTCCTCTAGAGTTGTCAACATATTTATTAGCAATAATCTCAACTCCAGGAGAAGCCAATGTGTATAACGAAATGTACTTCTTCCTAACCTCTGTCTTTTAGAACTCTTCATTTCCTTCAAAGTTCAGCTCAAATGCTATCTCCGACATGAGGCCTTTTTTAATTCCTACAGCTATTAGTGACTTCCTCCCACACCCCAAAATTACTTTGTGTTTATTATACATATATTTTGTGTAATGAATAATATAATTTTAAAATTCTATTTTATTTGATTTTCAGTTCCAAATTCTCTCCCTCCTGTTACCCCCTCCCACCATTGAGAAGTCAAGAAAAATAAAACCAATTACAAACATTATAGTCAGTAGTGAATAATATAAGAGGCACAGGGGCATAGTAGCTAGAACGATGTCCCCAAAGCCAGGAAGACCTGGGTTCAAGCCTCGCCTCTAACCCACTGTCTGTATGACCTTATGCTACTCACTTAACCTCTCTGGGCTCTTAGCTCTAGGCAACTCCCTACGTCTATCTGTATTTTTTCTTTAATTTTAATTTTTTTTTTACTTTCATTTCTAAATTCTCTATCTCCTCCCACCCACTGAGAAGGCAAAAAAAAAAATATGATACCCATTCTATACATGAAGTAAAACTATAAAGTATTAGAGAAGGTGCTGACCTGCACTATGCGAAGGAGTTTCCTTACCTGGCTGTTCCCAAGACCTATGAAATCACAGACCTAGACCCTACTCCTTTCTATATTTTGTATCTATTTATATGTGTTTATATTAGAAGGCAAGCTCCTTGAGGGCAGGAACCATTTCATTTTTGTCCTTATATCCCCAATGTCTAGCACAGAGGCCAACACACGGTAGGTGTTTAAAAAATGTTCACTGATTGATTGATTAACAGAAGGATAGCTCTTATCAACCAGGCCTGACAAGAAGTTACTTCCCAGGGAAGTAATGGAAATTTCCACTTGCAAATAGAAGGAAGTACTGAAGAAGCTTGCAACTGGCCCCCAGAGGAAACTCCCTAATCTTTTCTAGCATCTTCTAGGTAAAAAGAAAACATACACACAACACACAACACACAACACACAACACACAACACACAACACACA